AGAGAGAGAGAGAGAGAGAGAGAGAGAGAGAGAGAGAGAGAGAGAGATTCTAAAAATAATCTAGGTAATGCCTGCAAAGTTTCAGGAATGTTCGCAAAGCTGGCAAATAAGGAGGCCCTTCCTGAAGCAGCCTGCCCAGTGTGTCTTGAGCAGAGCTACAATATTACAAATATGGGGGAGCCTTCCTTTGTGCTCCCTGCCCCAAAAGCCGTATTGAATAATACCTTTTGCAGTCTAGAGTAAGAAAACTTCCACCATTTCACTTGATGATAGTCATAGGATATCAGAGGGGGAGGGAGAATCTCCCCACAGCATTTCGGCTGGGGAGAGGGCTCTGTGAGTAAAGTACTTGCCACACCAGCACTGATATCTGAGTTTGGACCTCCAGCACCGACGTAAGAGCTGTGCATCTCCAGCCTCGGGAGGAAGTGGAACAGGTCAGCCCCTGGAGTTTGATGGCCAGATGATTTGATAGGATTAGTGAACTTCAGGTTCAGGTAAAAGGCCATGTCTCAAAAAGTAAAGTGAAGCATGGAGAGGAAAACATGGACATTTGGCTTCTGCAAGCGCCCCTGCATACACATACACACATGTCAGCATGTGCTCCTACATACACCAACACATGCATACAAAAGCCACATTTCCAGTTAGGCATAATGTTGTACATCTGTAATCTCACCCTGGGGTAGCTGGGGCAGGAGGATCATAAGTTCAAGACCAGCCTGGGCTATATAATGAATCCCTGCCTCAAACAAACAAAATCTGATTTAGAGATAAAAAGTAGTTCCCTGTGACCAGAAGCATCAGAGTTGAACATATCCTGAACTAGAGAAAATAAAGATGCACACAGTGACCTTAGATGCTTTCTTTTAATACATTTACAATATATTAATGCAATACAATAATATTATTAACAAAAATAAACTTTGGAAGACTACAGAAATAGCTCAATATTTAAGAACACTTGCTACTAGCAGAAGACCCAAGTTCAATTCCCACCACCCATGTGGTGATTCAGAGCTATCTGTAACTGCAGTTCCAGGGCACCCAATGCCCTCTTCTGACCTCTGAGAGGATGAGGCATGTACATGGTGCATATATATGCATACAGGCAGAAAACTCATGTGTAGAAAATACAATCAAACACATCTAAAAGTTGCCTTTTGATTTTTCTGTATATGAGCTGCTGTTCTAGCAAAAGAATTTATAGTATCTTATACCTAATGGTAAATAAATGTATTCTTTTTTTTTTTTTTTTTTTTTTTGGTTTTTCGAGACAGGGTTTCTCTGTATAGCTTTGCGCCTTTCCTGGAACTCACTTGGTAGCCCAGGCTGGCCTCGAACTCACAGAGATCCGCCTGGCTCTGCCTCCCTAGTGCTGGGATTAAAGGCGTGCGCCACCACCGCCCGGCATAAATGTATTCTTAATGAATCTCTTAAATCAACATGCTTAGTGCTTGTGTCATTTACAGACAGGTGCTTCCGGGGTAGAATCCAGTCAACAATCTGTGTACCTCACTCTACTCAATTATGTTGAAAACTGAGTTCTTTTGTGGCCATGTGCTCCAGGTTTACCTTAATTGCTGATACTTGAAATGAGCCCAAAGAGACGGTGGGAGGAGCTGGGGGAGATTGGTCCACAGGTAAAATCACAGTCAGATAGGAAAGTGCCGGTGTTCCATCACACAAAGTGTGGCTATAATTAACAATATTGCATCATCAAAACTAGAAGACAGAATTAGGAATGCTTTCAGCACAATGGAATGAGAAATGTCTGAGAGGACCATGGCAGGTTACCTCCTGGATTGATCAATACGCAGTGGGTGAGTGTACCACAACGTCACACTCCACTCCATAAACCCACACATTTTCTGTCCAAATGGCACTCCGTCATCTCATGGCTGTGATTTTCAAGTTTTCACAATGAACAGTGAGTGTAAGATGTTCATATTTAGAGATGTAGTAAGAATCATTTAATGAGACCATGACTCAACTGTTACTCAAACAGAAGTTGACTTAATTAGTCAAAAGATAAACAAGAGGGGTCATCAGCACTGGCCAGGTATATAAAGGGACCCGACCCAGAAGAGACATCACACCTGAGAACACCCATCCGCTCTCCACATCTCAGCCCCACTCCAGCCCAGACACCCACCATGACCGGCTCCTGCTGTGGATCCTTCTCCTCCCAGAGCTGTGGAGGCTGCTGCCAGCCCTGTTGCTGCAGAGACCCCTGCTGCTGCCGCCCAGTGTCCTGCCAGACCACAGTGTGCCGCCCTGTGACATGCGTGCCCCACTGCACCAGGCCCATCTGTGAGCCCTGCCGCCGCCCCATCTGCTGTGACCCCTGCAGCCTGCAGCAGGGCTGCTGCCGCCCCATCACCTGCTGCCCCACCTCTTGCACAGCTGTGGTCTGCAGACCCTGCTGCTGGGCCTCCACCTGCTGCCAGCCCATCTCTGTGCAGGCTCCCTGCTGCAGGCCCCCCTGCTGCCAGCCTGCCCCCTGCCGCACCACCTGCAGGACCTCCCCCTGCAACACCTGCTGCTGAGCAGTGAGCTGAGCACCTGGGGCAGGCAGCCGCCCTTTGGAAAATAGTCGTGTTCCTATTTCTCTCTCTCTAACCTGCCCTGAGCCACTTATGCCCTAAATCAACCAGCTTGTGAATGGAGGCCGGGAGCATGCCATGAAGGCTGGTGCGACTTTTTAGCAGTCTTTGTCCTTCTCTCCTTCTTGGATCTAAGGTCTTTTTGAAGATTAGTTTATGTTTTGTTTTTTAATAAATTTCTCTTCTTTGGCCCCACAAATTATTGCTTTGCTCTTACTTACTTGTGCCTTTTAAATTATTTTAATTTATTCTTTGAGAATTTTCTGCACATGTACAATTTATGTTGATCGCATCTATATCCCACACTCCCCCTTCAATTCCAGACCATCCTCCCCTCCCCACAACCATGACCCTCTTACAGCTTCACACCTGTTTTTTGGTAACTCACTGAGTCCCATTAGTGCTGCATTTATCTGCATAGCTACAGGGCCATCCGCTGGAGCACGGGCAGCCTACCAGAGGAGGGGAGTCCATCTTCTTCAAGCTTTTTTAAAAATTAGGTCTCAAAGAAATTCTGGTTGCTTACCACAGACTGCATAGGCCATGAGAAACATCAACTGAGGTTTTAAAAGGCTTTCCCTCAAAAACCTGACAAGTTCCCACGCCTAAATGAAAAGTTATAGGGAATTAATGACTACTACTAAAAGAGAGAGGAATCAGTCCTCCCCATGGACAAGCACCCTATTGGTTATTCAATATCAAGTGGTCATCTCTAAAACATATACACATGAGCAACACATGAAGTTGTGTTTATGTATTTGTGTGTGTATACATGTAATAATCATAAAGAAAAAGAAAAATTAAAGTATGTCCTTTTATTTTTTACTACTTTTATTTCATGTGTTTGGATGTTTTGCCTATGTGTATGTCTATTCATCGTGTGTGTGTGTGTGTGTGTGTGTGTGTGTGTGTGCCTGCAAGTGTGAGTGTGCGCGTGCACGTGAGCCTGGTGTTTCAGAGGTCAGAAGAGGGTATGGGATTCCTTGGAACTGGAGTTACAGGTGGTGATGAGCTGCCCTGTCAGTGTTGAGAATTGAACCCAGATCCTCTGGAAGAGCAACCAGTGCTCCTAACCACTGAGCCATCTCTCCAGCTTATTTTTTTTCTTTCATTAAAAGCCTCTGGGGAGATGAGTCATAACTACTTTGACACAATTAAATGGAATATGAGAAATGAGATGTATATGTTATATAGCATCCACAAAGACATTACTATTGTTTAGAAAGAAAGTTTGAAAAATGTTAGTATCTTCTATGAGTTAAGGTTTTGTTGCCCAGATTAGAAGGAGAGCAGCTTTCTCATCAGTGGAAGCAGTCTAGACAAAGGTATGGAGGGAAGTGCCTCAAGGGTCATCCATACATTTTGGCTACAGCACTGGATATGTGAGGAGCCGCCGTGGAAGGACTGTTGAGAGACTTATCATACTTTGCCTGTCAGCCAATGGAGTTTGTAAGTAAGCGCTAAGGAGCCGTTTCAAGCCTTGGGTCCATACATGGCAGGACAGAAGCTGGTGCTGGTGGTGGGAGCTTTCTAATGATGACAAGAAGAAGGCTCAGTCAGTAAAAGTGTCACGCAAGAGCAAGAACAAGAGTTCAACTCCTAAACACCTGTGGAAAAAGTCAGACATGGTAGTACAGGCTTTAGAGACACAGCCTAATCAGCGAGCCCCAGGTCCCCAGGAGGGACTCTGTCTCAAAAATAAATAAATAAATAAATAAATAAATAAATAAATAAATAAATAAATAAATAAATAAATAACATGGACAGCTCCTGAGGATGACAGCCAAGGTTGAGTTCTGGCTTCCCTATTCATGCACACACACAAACACGTATGTTCACACATACACAGAGAGGGAGGGAGGGAAGGAGAGAGAGAGAGAGAGAGAGAGAGAGAGAGAGAGAGAGAGAGAGAGAGAGAGAGAATGAAGGTGACACACACAGAAAACCAGGTACATTAAATTTAAAGTGGGAGACAAGAAACAACTAGAAAGCAAATGTGACTTATTTCAACTCTGGGCTAAAAATGCTTAAAAGGATTTTAATATATTTATGCTTCTTTGCTTTGTGTTTCAGATTCCTATTCTGTAGTATAGCCTACCCAACACCTCATGTTTATATTCTTGAAGTATTTAAAGTAAAGGCAGTACACAACGAGTTTTACTGAAACACACTGAACCTGGAAAGCAGCATGTCATAAAATTAAAAAAAAAAAAAAACTGGTCTAGGAAAAGTAGAGGAGACCATCACACCCATATCTTCTCTCTGTGTGTACAAGTGCTCATATAATGTCTACGAATTTCTCTGTTCCCAGATCACAATGTTCTTTCAACAATTGATGCTGAGGTAAAATGAAAACTCATGCCTACCACAACACCAATGTTCTGGTCTAGGACTTTGAGAATGAATGGCTCTGTTTCTTAACTCATTCCTTTAATTGATCAATCCTATTGATATCCCACAGCTTTGCGCACCAGAGCAAAATATGAGGCAGATAATTATTCTTTTTCTTTATAACCCTTCAGTGTTCTGTGACTAGTAGAACTAAACAAGCTTGTGACACTCACATTGAAAACAGTATTGTTGCCGGGCGTTGGTGGCGCACGCCTTTAATCCCAGCACTCGGGAGGCAGAGGCAGGCGGATCTCTGTGAGTTCGAGGCTAGCCTGGGCTACCAAGTGAGCTCCAGGAAAGGCGCAAAGCTACACAGAGAAACCCTGTCTCGAAAAACCAAAAAAAAAAAAAAAAGAAAAAGAAAAAGAAAACAGTATTGTTTTCTACACCTAAAATGTCAAGTAGTCAAAAAATGGGTTATTGTTTTTTCTTTCCATTATTCAATGATTACATGTAACTATTTTCAACTTCATGCTTATCACCATGGTTACCAGAGAGCGTACATCTTTACTGAAACTAGCATGAACAATATTCCAACATAATCTTACCACTGTCCAAAACAGTATCCCCATCTCATAAAAGCCATCTTTGTGTTTGCATTCATATGCGTAGGATTAACAAGCCCACCACTGAAGCAACAATGACTCTTGGTCACTCTACGTTTTTCATGTCCCTCATGTAACCCTAAACATACAGCAGAAAAATCATGTTGCTTTTGTCTAATACCAGAAATGGTTTTAACTTTTCTTTGCTAAGATTTATCCTAAAATTTTGCTTTTGTACCTACTAACACATATTGATAACCCCTTTTTAATCTCTCTTACAAACATTATGAACCAGAGAGACAGTATTTCCTGATTCCTTTCATCTCCTTGACTCCTCTTTGTAAATTAGGCTGCTGTCCCATTTGGCTCAATACCCTTTTTGCAGGGCATATGGTGTAATAACATAAAATGACATCAACTGAAAGCCTTTGGGGAACACTGTCCAAATGATCCACATAGCATCAATTTTAAACTACCATAAGGAAGCATAGGTTTCTCTTGATTGCTTTGTGGGTGCTTTTCCCCACTCACTGATTGCAAATTTTAGCCTCTTCTTTAAATTAAATTGGAGTGCAGCAAGTTTTGTTCCATATATTCTCCTGAGTGACAAATGAGTCCTCAAATATTAATGTCTAAAGCTTAGAAGAGCTCACAGAAATCATACAAAAAATATCTGGAGATATCTGTGAATTCCTTTTAATGTGTAACTTATCTTTCTATGTGTAACTTTCTACGCAATGATGTAGAAACAGTGATATTAGCAATAAAATAAAAAACAGTACCATAAAGGTAGTCTTCTTGAAGGACAACCCAGGATCAATGGTCCTTTCCTGTATATTTGAGATTTGGTGAGTGTGTCTCTGTCATCGTAATTACAGGTGAGAGTCACCTTGTCAGGTGCCATGACCACAAACATAAAACTGAGGCCAAGACTCAAGTGGAAATCACGACTCTGTTTGGACATAAAGCATTTAACATGTCTGCCTCAGATGAACATATATGATGAGCATTAGCTGAGCAACAAGCAAACACCCAATTTAAAATATGTTTAAAGTAACTCAGGGGCCCCAGAAAATCTGGTTTTAAGAGTAACAAGATAAAAATGCTACCTGTCACAGAGCGACTGCCCAAGCCTTATAAAAGGCCCCAGCTGGAACAAGCAGCCAGAATCCAGAAACTCATCTCAACTTCACAGCTCTCAAACCAACACCAGACACCATGGCCTGCTGCGCTACCAGCTTCTGTGGCTTTCCCACATGCTCCACTGGTGGCACCTGTGGCTCCAGCTGCTGCCAGCCCAGCTGCTGCCAGCCCAGCTGTTGCCAGCCCAGCTGCTCCCAGTCCAGCTGTTGCCAGCCCAGCTGCTGCCAGCCCAGCTGCTGTGGAACTGGCAGTGGCCAGGAGGGTGGCAGTGGAGGCGTGAGCTGCCGCGTTAGATGGTGCCGCCCAGAC